GGGGTCCAATCGGGCATTGGGTCTCCACTCCATGCCCCCCCTCATTCACATTGGGTATGGTTTTATTCTGGGTCTTAGATGCCTGATACCTAATCTCATTGACTCCTCATGATTACACAGGCTGATGTGTTTCTTCCTTGTGGGCTTAGTTGCTTCCCTGCTTGATAGCCACTTGTTTATCTTCAAGCCTTTAAGACCCCAGATGCTATATCTTTTGCCAGCCGGGCACCATCAGCTTTCTTCACCACAGGTGCTTATGCACCCATTTTGTCTTCAGTCTTAATATAATATACACATCTCCTTATCTTCATTGTATTATATTATATTTAAATTAAAAGCTACACTTATTGTTATCAAATATTTATTTAGGTATTTTGTTTGGTTTTGTGATTTGTAAAGGACTGAAAAAGCAGTCCATTTTTTTAAAAAACTTAAAATTTGCAACTATGAATACAATTGTAGACACTGAAATTTGCGTTTTAATATATGTAAATAACATATTTTAGTAGTATTATGGGAAAATCTGAAATACTACTAAAGTAAATGTTTTCAAGTTTAAGAAATAAGGGCTTTACTATCACTATCCGTATATGTAATTCGATATTATTCAGTTCAGGATGATATGTGCAATTGTGGTAGATTAGATAAAGAGTTTAAAACATATATCTAGGCCCACACCAGAAAGATGGCGTATTAAATGTGGTTGCATGGCAGTTATTTTTCTATTTTTGTTTTTTCTTTTCAAATTTCTCTTTGAAAGTAAAAAAAAAACTATTAGATAATCAAAGATATACATAAATCACTAAGAATGAGACACACTCAAAGATAGAATTGAATTCAGTCAACCTTTGCCCTAAAACAAAGGGAAAAGAAGATAAAAATAAGCATATCTGCTCTCACCTCTTCAATCCTGGGAATAATATTTTATTCTACTATTTAACCTTAGGACTCCTGGTGATGTAGTCTTTAGGCAATGGGTTGCTAGCTGCAAGATCAGCAATTTGAAACCACCAGCTGCTCTATTGGAGAAAGACAAGGTGGTGTTTACTCATTCTGTAAAGGTTCCAGTCTTGGAAACCCACAGGGCCTTTCGACCCTGACCTATGGAGTCACTATGATGGGCATTGACTCAATGGTGAGAGTCTGGTATTGAACCTTAGAATAGAACTGCCCCTGTAGACTCCCCATATTGTAACTCTTTATGAAAATGGAAAACCTCGTCTTTCCCCTGCAGGACAGGTGGAACTGTTGACCTTCCAGCTAGCAGCCCAACATAAAACACACTTCCCCGGTCAGAATCAACTAGATGGCTGTGAATTTGTTTTCTTTTTTATTTAACTTCATACTGTTGTTCTTTTATATTTTTAACTTCTCAAAAATCAAGTTTTATCAAAATGTCTTCCTGGTGCCTTCCAGTACAAATTCATGTACCTGTAAAACTTAGACGTTAAATGGGAAGTATACGATGCAGAGCAATTTTATAAACACATCTATGTGCCCCTACTTTTTACTCTTTGTAAAAACCACACAATGGCATCAATAGAGTCATTTCTTCTTTGATGTCCTGATCTCTTATTTTCTACAACAGGTTTCCATGACAACTCTTATTTGAATGTTTACAAATATCTATTTTGAATACTATTCTTAAATATATGAATATGTAAGACTTGAGCATAAAATATAAAGTTATTCTCATACTTATGTGGACATTTTAGAACTCTCAAATATGTACTTGAACTACAAATTAAAAGCAATAAAGGAGGGGGATGTACCAACCTGACACATAAACACAGTGGTGTAAATTTAAACTGAGTATTGAGTTTGTATCATTTCCATTTCAGTCTGTCACTTGTGATCTTAAAGTCTAGAAATAACACATCTACTAATTCGTTACTAATTTTTTTCAATATTGGAAAAGGACAAAGTAAAATAAATGGAGGTATACCAAAATGAAAAAATAATTCAGACAGCTACAAATGCTCAAATATATCAATGAAGTATGAACATATATAAAAAGGAGAAATGTTTATAAAAGTTTAAATACTTAAATTGTATTGAGTCTAAAACATGTGGCACTAAGACCACAAAATAAAGAAATCACTTGTAAATTGATTTATGTCTCCTAAGAGCATACACATCTAAGGAGCCCTTGTGACGTTGTGGACTTTGTACAGAGCTGCTAACCACAAGGCCAGTGGTTCAAACTCACCAGTTCTTGCACAGGAGAAAGATGAAGTTGTCTGCTCCCATAGGATTTTTCAAAGTTTCAGAAAACCAAAGGGACAGATCTACTCTGTCCTAGAGGGTCACTCTGAGCCAGAAGAGACTCAGCAGTGAGTGAGTGAGAATCCTATCTATATAAAACATGAATTCATCCATATAAAACATGAATTCATCCTTCAGCTTACAATACATCTCAACTCACTAAACTAGACAGATAGCATAAAGTCAGGCTTCCAGCTACATGAACAGTGTAAAGATAAACTGTTAAAACACATTTAAACAGAATGTTAATTTGTGATTATTCTATATATTTTTTAGGTAATCCCTAGTAATTTGAAAAGGAATTTGCCTGAAGACAAGTCCCACCCATGGCAGCTAATCTGAAAGCAAACAAATAATTAAATACTTGACTGGTCAATAAAAATGAATACTCAAACAGGGTTGCTTAAGAAGTTGATTCAAAATCTAAATTTTTATTCTAATGTTGGCTTGTGCTGGGTAATAATTTTATAAACCAAAGTGATGGAACACCTATATATATTTATATTTAAATCATATATATTTATGTATTATCTATCTATATATATACATTTAAATCGTAGATGACCTTTTAAAGTTAGAATTCCAGTGAATGTCCTGTGCTGCATTGAATCTCAGAAGCAACACACATCAGCAGAGATTTCACATGCCAGGCAGTCAGTTATAATCAGTGGCTGTGGTGGGAAGGGCCTGGGGAGGATGTCATGAGACCTCAGGAATAATTTTGGCTGTGCTATTAACTTTCTGTATGACCTTGGCCATCATCAGGCATGTGAAATCTTCAGCTTCCTTGCCTACAAAATAAGGAGTCTTGATTAGGTGGTCTCAAAGAAATGTTTCAGACCTATGAACCTATGATTCTTGGCAGAGAGCTGCTCATTAATCTTCTACAAATCTCTAATCTACCTGTGTTCTTTCCTCACCTAAAATTGATTCAGGTCAACTCCTCAATGTTACCATAATTAAGCCTTGGAAATATTAAAAGCAAGAAAGGAAAAGAAATTATTTTAAGTCAATGGTCTGGCTTTTTTGACCAATAATTAATCAATAGAATGAAACTCCAAAACAATAATAAAAATGCATAACTTTCTTAGTTGTTGCTTTGCATCCTGGCCTAAAATAAAATGGTCTATGTTATCCTAAGGAAAGATAATAAAGCAGTCTGCCTTTTATATAGCGCAGGATAGGGAAGGGAGGCGACTCACGGGAGGGACCTGAAAAACAAACTGAGATTATCTTTTGAGCCACCAAGTGGCTCTGCTGGAATCCAGAAGACACACATGTCCTAGTCAGGAGCTTGTGGTTTAATTTAAGTGCATGTGCACTTGGTTTTTGTTTCTTAATAGCTCTTCATGCTGCTGCTTTCACAGAATGGTCTCAAGCACAGAACACGTCAGAGTGGAAGTCATTCATTCTGCATTCAAATATGTGAATGTGGGCATGACGGTAAGCACTGAAATACCAAATCCCAGGTAACAGTATTCCTTTAAGTTGTCTCTTTAAATTCTATTTCGAACTGTCCTCGGACTTCTGAAGTGGGATCAGACCACATTTTTTGACCACCTAGTTTTCAGTAGCTCGTTGGTAGATTAACAGCTAAACAATATCTCAGAGGCAGAAGAAGACAACAATGGAGACAGAAGCAACGTGAAGTTGGGAGAATTCCCAGTCTTCCCAGGGTGTGTCTCTACTGGATTGCAGAAGCAAAGCAGGCACAGGCAGTTGCAAATATTTAACTAAATATAGTATTCCTATCTCACATATAATTAAAAACCATTCACAGATCATGCATCTTTTAGCTATTTATGTTTCTTTTGTTTCCCTTAAACTGGAGCACCACTATTGGTTACTTTGATTCACCCTTTGTGGAATTTTGAAGAATTAATTGAGTGTTAAAAAAAACCAATATAAGCTGTCATTCAAGCTAGAAACCAATAAGAAAAATTAATGCTGGGGTCACAGTCTGAAGAGCAAAATAAAGTTTGCTACAATTGAAAGCTCTCAAATTTAGAGAACAGAACTCGGATCCCCTCGGCAACTAAATGATGCTCAACCTGTAAATAACATAGACACAGACCAAGGAGAAAGGAAACAGATTCCAAAAGTCAGTGTACATGGGAGGTCTCTGGTCAGTTAGGGGCAGGCCTAGTCAGCATCCAGAAGATTCTAGTCAGAAAGCAAAGCCCCTGCCTTGCCCTCCTCTCCACATACACACACCATCACACACATATATTCCTTTCCCCTTCCTGTGTCCTCAGAATAGATCCCTAATTGGAGGAACTGCTCTGGGTGAGTCACATGTGAAGGAGTGTCAGGCCTCACTGAAAATGTCAAGTCAAGTCAGGATGACCAGGAAGCCCCAAGGTGACATCCAAGCTGAAGGAGCAGTTGGGATAAAAGAGTGAGGAAAAACTCAGGAGGAAGTCTGATACCCATTTAAGACAAGATCCCAGACTGACCTGAGGCACAGAGAAGTTGATATTTGGCCTTTAGATTCCACCTGCTGAAGTAAATCGCAGTTTGGGGTGCAGGGGGTGGGGGTGGGGACGGGGTAGAGAGAGGCCAAGATCCCCAGGCCTTCTGCTGCACAGAGTGAGCATATAACCTCACTGGGGGGAGTCCCACTCTCTTCTCTGCCTACCTCCCATCCCATAGCCCCTTAATGGGAATGATTGGCCGGTTGGAAGGGAGTTGGCAGAAGTTGGAGCAGCGGGGGAGGGGGTCAGTTCTGGCCTTACCCTTGCGGCTCTGGATGAGTAGGGGTCCTCAAAGAGGGCCCACATGCGGGGCTGCAGCCTCCTCCAGCGGCCGCCCTTGCCATCCGGGCCCCCCAGCCCCGCTGCATCCTCTATGCCCAGCCTCTTGGCCGCCAGGTCCTCGTCGTCGCCCGGATCGCCCCCGATGAGGTCGGGGCTCTCAAAGATGTCCAGCGCCTCCTCCGCGTCGCGGTGCTGCCGGTAGGTCATCCAGCAGCAGGGCTCCACGTCGGTCTCGTCGATGCCCCAGAAGGCCAGCTCCTCTTCGAAGAGCGGCCCGCACACGTCGGCCGGGCAGTGCAGCTTGCCTGTGCGGTAGTAGTTGAGCACATAGGCGAAGACGCCCGGGTGCCTGTCGAAGAAGAACTCGCGGCCGCCGCCCCGGTGGTCGCTGCCGCTGCTGCGGGGGCTGCAGTTGCCCGCGCCGCCTTCGAAGCAGCCTCCTCCAGGGCCCGGGGGCAGCGGGGACGCCCGCGGCTGCGGCGAGACTGGAGGAAGATAGGGCTGCGGCCGGTCGCCCGCGGCGGTCGGGCAGTCACCCTGGGGCTCGGAGGCGGCCAGCAAGGCCAGGCGGGTCCCGGGCAGGGTCTTGAGGGTGCTGCGGTAGGTTTCGTGCCGGGTGCCGCCGACATTGAGGATCACCCTCTCGTTGTTCTCAATCTTGCCCATCTCTGTGGCTCAGACATGACTGGGGAGGGGAAGGGGAACAGGACGTCAAGTTCAAGATCCGGGTGGTCAGAGCCACCCCCAGCCCAAGAATGCTGTGATGCACAGCTGGCAGATGGGTAAGGGGGGGCGGGGGGGAGGATGGGGAACAGCCTTGCCAGAACCTCAGTCTCCAACCAGAACTCCGCCTCTGGGATCACACTTTTGCTCAGGTTTCCAAAGGACTACCGAAATAGTCCCATTCTTTCTGGACCATCCAGGACACCTTTTTCTCTGCTGAACACCATCCTCCCCTTGGTCTGTTCTGTCCTTCATCTTCTCACCCTTCACCTTCCTCCGCCCCCCAAGTCTATCACAACCTCCAACCCCAGACCACTGCACCCCCAAGCTCGGCTCCTTCCCAAACTCTCTCCCCCTCCTTTGGCTACCCGCCCCCTCCTCTAACCCCCATCTAAAGTCTCCCCATCAACTCGCTCAGCCGCCCCCCCACCCCCCGGCTCTGTCTGCACTAGCTGAGAGTTGTCCTTCCCCCAGCAAGAACTGCAGTGCTGGGTGACAGCCCCCAGGGATTCGCCGAGCGCCCCGGGCCCGCGTACCCGGGTCAACCCTGGACGGCTGGCTGCTGGCTGGCTGCTCGCTGGCGCTCGGGGTGCACTCGGCGGGACCTGCGCCCCGCACACCCGCAGGGCGCCCAATGAGAGCCAAACCCTGCCCCTGCCCGCCATCGCCTTTCTCCAAGGGGACCTCTAATTTCCCCATCCGATTTCCTTTGCTGATTAGGGTGGATGTCAGTACACTTTTTTTTTTTTTTTTTT